CTCTGAGGTTTTTCATCTGGATCAGTCTGAATAAAACAGATTTTCTTGCAACTGAAAACTCTTTATTTGCAAAAGGTTATGATAACCAGAAGAAGCCAAGCTCCCCCAGTTTTTGTTTGGGGGGTAGGATGGGGAGTGGAACTGGCTTCCCGCAGTCCTGTTCGCATTAGAGCGGGTTTGTAGGATGCTTATTTAAAAACAGTACAAAAAATGAAAGCTATCATGTTTGTGCCTTAGCGGAGCATGCCAGGATGCTGTTGCTAAGATGATGCATGCTGATTCTGGCATAAATAGTTATTTGAGCAGACCCTACCCTAAGGAGTTGAGTCCCAATCCTTTCTCTCCTGTATAGGAACAAATCAATTATTCTAAGGAGGCAGTGTTGTCTCTCGGTGCTGTTGTGTTGCTTTTTGAAAACGTTTTGTAAGTTAGTCCTTAAGTGGGATAATTGCTTTCAGCATTTGCAAGTTAAATGAAGAAAGCTCTAATTAGATTTTATAAAGTGGCTTAGCATGTTGAGAAGGCTTTTCATAAAGTATACTGTGTATTCACTTGGCATTGCACAATTGAATTTCGTGTAGCACTGACGAAACCAAAAAATCCTATTTGGCCTTGGTTGCTCCTGGGCGCTTAAAGGCTTGAAAGCCTGTCTTAGGTACTCCTAGCTATACATACTCTCGTCCTTTCCCCACCATCCCACCCTCGTCAGGGCATTTATCTGTATTTTAGAGACCTGAGGAGTTGCGATCAAGACCAACCTGCTTGAGGAAGGATATTGGAGTAGAGCATAGAAGCTTGGTGTTTTGTACCACTTTAAAACGGGGCCATGGCACATGCTGTTTAATCTGTCTTAGCCGTTATTATGCTGTGCTAATTGTACGGTGGTGCTGGGTGGCAGAGAGCCATTTTGTTCAGGTTAGTCTTAGCTCCGTGTGGGCACTTATTGAGTTCCACGGAAACTAAGCAGCACCCATGCTTAGTAATCTTTGGTATTGTTTGGTGTCCTGTAGGTTAGAAATGTGATATGCTAATGCTTTACTATTGCCATCACAGCCTTGGCATAAGCAGAGGGACTGGCCAGAGCAGCGTAACACATTGCTTGTCATCTGAATAAGAACTTAGCCTAGTCACAAGCTGCTTTCACGTGTGGTTTCTGCAGTGTGCGTGCCAGGAGCTTCCTGATGAGAATTGGAAAGAGTCCCCAAAGCTGATGTTTGTTCAGATCGTTTGGGCGGTTGCTGGATGTGACTTACTAGAGTCTGTTTTAACTAAGATGCACTCTGTTTAGGAAGTAATACCTTTACTAAATCAGTCAATCAGTTCTTGAAGCTTCATCTGCGAAGATGTAGATCCCACATGCTAACAACTTTGAAGGCAGTTCAATGAAACTGGATCTGAAGAACGAGTATTTCATGAAGGCAGTTTTCAATGAAACTGGATCTGAAGAACGAGTATTTCATGAGAAGTCTTGCATTGATTTGTTATGAGTTCAGATAACTCACAGGAGATGATGAATGCAAACTGGTCAAAACTGTTATTTGCCTTCTGCTCTACTCAAGAGGACTTGGGCTTGTTTCATCTTGTGGTTATCACTGTGCAGGTGAAACTCTTTATTAGCTGCAGAAATGTTTGGGAATGGCAGTTAGTATGTTTAGAGGAGTAGCAATTACAATAGATACTTTTTGTATGTCTGCAATTTATCTTTGGTGATAAGGCCCAGGTTTGAGGAAGTGTATAGAGATCTCTAGTGAAATCCACTCACCTTAGGAAGCTAACTCATGGATCATCAACCAGCCTATATCCTAGTAGGAGGGGACAAAAGGTTGTTCTCCTGTTCTCTAACCATACTTGATCTCTTCAACTGTAGATTAAAAAGAGTCATGTCTATTATGGTCAACTCTTCTCACTTGTTGCTTATAAGAGGTCAAGTTCTTTGAATGCTTCTGGAATCAACAAACTCCCGTTTGAATTCGGTGGGTCATTTTCTCCATGACAAGTTGTGGCAGTGTGTTCTTTGTCTGAACAACAGGCTTGCTATTGTAACTGCATGGAGTACACATCTTTGGATGAACATTCGCAGCCGCCCACGCGCTCTTGATTCACTTAACCACATGTGCCTTAAAGTGTTTTATTCATTTTCAGTGCCTGCCTATATCTGTCTTTGTAAATGGACTTTGTGTCCCCCTTTGAAGTATGTACATACTACAAGGACTTCTGTAGTCAAATTGAGTAGCCCTCAAGTGAACACAGATTTAGGCCTTTCCCCTCTTCTACCTCAAATGTCAAACCAATGTGTAACACTGTTTAATGGAGTTATTTACTTATATTGGTAAACACGTAGACTAAATTAGAAACTTTTGGCAGGTTCGATGTGATATCTTGTAAGTGATATGCAGGAATAACTCCAGTTTTCTTTGAGAAAAGATTATGAATTGGATGAAATTTTCTTTATTACAAGAGTTAGTTCATGCTATGGCAGGTTCTGCAAGTTGGTGAAATTAAAGTTCTTAAGTGAACTTGAGGTGATGAAGTTTCCGTGCCTGTATAGATGAAATGGTCAAACTTAAAACCTTTAGTAGCTCCTTAAAAAGGCAGATATTACTGTGTGAGATGTGACCAATACATATCTCAAGAATGAAGATATCTTCTTCCCGAATCCTTTTCTCCTTTTAACATAGTCTTAGGAGTTGAAATTTGTATGTTGTATACTTAGCCAGTGTAGTATCTGTGCTGTTGATTCCAATGGCTTGAAACTGGTATTGTAGGTGCTAAGTGTCTTACTCATGTCTGTACTTAGACGAATTTCAGTTGAAGATGCGGCTTTTCTTCAAGGCAGGGCAGGTCTGGAAATCGATAAATTGGAGATTTATTCCTGGAAGTGCCAAAGATGATGTTATTTGAGCAAATTTAGTAGGATTTACTTTAGCCCATAGAGCATATAGAGGTGGGGAAGTGGGGGAAGATACTCAAATCAGCAGGTTCAATTGAAAAACTGCAGTGACCTGACAAAGAGGGCAGAGTCAGAAAGCACAGGTAGATCTTAACGTTTCATCTACCTGGCGGCTGTGCCAAGGCAAATACATGCTCTTTGGCAGGGGAACAGTGGCATATCCTTAAGTGTCCCAGCTGCCCAACTAGAGATCGATTTTTGTCTACTGGGGTTACTTTCTTATGAATCAGGGGCAACCTTTGTGAATACTCAAATCGGTACTTTTCATGCAAAGAAACTACCCTTTGCGCTTGGAACAGGGTCCTTTGGAAGATGCTGATTCGTATTTTATAGGAACAAGATAAAGTATGTTGCCGCCTTCTCTGTCAGCTTCTTCCATGTGACCAAAGGCAATGCATGAACTTTTGCTGCATTTCAGGATTTTATGCTAATGTTTCACTTCTATCAGTATTTTTTTCAGAAAGGAAAATTATCTTAATTACCATGAAGTAACTAATCCGTGAAGCTGTAATCGTTGCTGACACAATGCTTCATATTTACGAAATATGAACAATTCAGTTCACCTCCTCAGATTGTCGTTTGAGTTACTGTAAAGTTTCCCGTAACTGTTCTTTAATCAAGAAACTGAATTCTATAACATGAGTAGTAAAGTTTTGACTACAAAAATGTAATGTTTTCTTTCATATGTTATCCAGCTTAGTGAAATGTATTCCATCAGCGTATTTTAAGTTTCAGTAATAATTTCAGTATAATTTATTAGATGGTACAATTAGGAAGATTTGTTTTCTGTAAAGGTGGTATTTGGTAGCACATGGAGCAAATATTGTGCTGATTATTTGCTGTGGCATGACTATTTTCTTTAACTGTAAGGCTTCTAATAAATGGTGATTTGTTACATCTTTGCCTAATTGTATAATCTTTATTTTTCACTAGATTTGAATAGGGTGTTTTTGTCTTTCATACGTCGGTCTTCTGTACATCTTACCTTTTTTTGTCACTTGAAATCTTGCCAGTTTTTGTGTTGGTTTCCAGACTCTCAAAGTTAGCTAGCCAGCCTTGTTCTGGCATCCTCGTTTATAAAGTGCCAAAATTATACTAACTAAGGCCAAATAAACTATATAATTTATCTATAAGCATGATGCCAGTTTTTTTTTTTCTTTTGTCTGATCTTTTGCAAATAAGGCTTTGCACATCCTGATTTCTAGTATTTTGGAGTACAGGAATATCGCTCTTGTTTCAAGATGAGAGTGTATGAAGGCTCTCAAAATTAGATTTGGGAAGCAGAAAGGCTACTGCCCAGTACCGCATAGCATCGTAGTAATGTCATTGAATAAATTACTCTATGATTTAAGTGAGGACTCCTGGATGCATAAGCACATAATAATTTGACAGGGGCCCGCTGTGTTTCTCTTGAAGATCATAACCCACGGCAGTTTTGCTTACCGTGGGAAACTTTCCTGTAGCTGGAGGCTGGAATGGCCATATCTATTTGTGAAGGACAAGGGAGTGCTTTTGTTACCTTCAAAGACCCATTACGGGATACGATTGCTTGTGGGAGTGTCTGGTTATGATCTGTTAGAAAACAGCCTATCAATAAAACAGAGGCTCTTGTAATAGAGCACTTCTTAATCTTCCTGTGTAGCTATTTATAGGCTGTGACATCTTAATTTGCCTCTCATGTGCATCAACTTCTGTTATTTTAAAAGATCAAGTAGCTTTCACACGCCTCTGAGAATCAGTTCTGCAGGAAACAGTCTGTTTTCTAAGGAATCTTATGAAAAGGCTTCAAGTCATAAGTTTGTTGTAAAAAATATGTTAAGGTTTTTGCTGGTGTCTTTTTAAAGGACAAAGAAGTTATGGAATGTCCTGTTATATAGCTATTTCTATATTAATCCTGTATTTGTCCGATTATAAGCACATTTCCTCGAATTCTCAAAGGATTTCCAGTTGCTGATAGTACTTACTTGTCTTTAGTGAGTGTGCAGTGACCTACCTGGAGCAATATTAAATGTATCGTTCTCTTTGTTTTTGTGGTCATTTTCTTTATCAGAGTGGTCCTAGCGCCAGATCTTGTCACAAGATGTGCATTGACATTCAACGAAGGCAGATCTACACACTGGGACGCTATCTGGATTCCTCCGTGAGGAACAGCAAATCTCTGAAAAGTGACTTCTATCGCTATGACATTGACACAAACACATGGATGTTACTAAGTGAAGACACTGCAGCGGATGGAGGTCCAAAGCTGGTGTTTGATCATCAGGTCAGCTACGCTGATGCTCTTAGTGCAAGTTCTCAATGTTTGCAAATCAATTTTGGTCGTAGCCTCCTGTCGTGGTACACGCTCCTGCGACGTAGAAGTGCTGTACCAGGTAACATAGCGGTGATGAGGAAGGCTGTGATCTATGCTCAGTTAAATTCTAATAGCATTTTTGTCTAATGCCACTGACTACTGGTATTCTAATCAAATTGAGTCAGAAGAATCATAAAAACCTTTGCAAACTGATTCATTTTATTAAAACACATTTTATTAAAGCTCAAAGCACAGTTCATCTGTTTTTAATCAGTCTTGTTGAGCTGGGTTTGCAGATCTGCCTACTCAGAGGGTGTTGGGGAACAACTTGCAAAGCTGTGTATGGTACCTTCAGAAGAACACTATAAACAAGCTGCTGAAATGAGGCCGGCAGGATCCAGGATTCTTTCAAAATTGGTTGTCTTAAAAATTGCAGAATGTGCTTGCTTTGTAGAGATTGAAACACCTTAGAGGAGTGGCTACTAATCTTTTAAAAAGCCGCACCTGTCCATGTGTTCAAACTGAATACTCTTTTATGTATGTTGTGTGTTTAATGGCTTTTGTGTGCTTGAAAAAGGTATTTTGTTCTTAATTGCTTTTTATAAAGTGTGGCCAAGAAACAGCACATCAGTACTCATTTTTAAAGCAGCCCAAGAACTGCTTTTATTGGTACTAGCTGTTTTGTAACTAAAGCTGTTGTTTGCCAGCACAATATGCGTTTCTGCTGATACCGAAAATTAAAGATACGTGTTGTCTGCAGAACAAAAGCCAATCAGTCTTTCTGTTCTATTAATAACGAATACCAGTCTCCCAGGTGTTGGGGAAAAGGCAAAAGTAAATTGTCAGCTGGCAAGGCTATGCTGGGTACCTTGTTTGCCCGCTTCTGAAATTGTTTCTTTTTTCCCTTGCTGTCTCTTAGGAAAGAATGTCCTCCCTGAATTCTTTATCAATCTGTAGCTCTTTCTCTTGTCTCCCTCAGTACCTACTGCGATAGCGGTTTTTGTTTAACCTTCACAAAAATGTGCTACACCTAGAAGTGTTTTGTGTAGGCTTTGCTGAGCAGCATCTCTATCTTACTGTAATCTTGTCTGGTTTTTTTCTTTTTTTTTTTCCCTCCGGTGTTTTGTAACCCTCTGCGTTGCGCTGTGTCTGAAAACATCACCTGGAGTCAGGGAGTTTTGATTTGTACTGCGATGCATCTCTTGTGCCATAACCTGAATTGAGGCTTTGGGGATAAACATGTTTCTGCTGCAGCCTCATCAAAAATCATTGGCCAGGTTGCGGCCCTGCTTTATGTTGAAGTAATGGGGATAACAGTAAATATATGCTTGGGATGGAATCTGAGTAACAAATCGCAGGCTGGTTTTGGACTGGTTGAGTGGCGGTCAGTAAATTAGCAGTGATTTTGAATTTTTCCCTTGCATAGCCATTGTCAAAGGCGATATTCTGTTAACTTTGACAGAATTGGCTATGGATCCTGGTGAAAAACTCTAAAATGTTTTTCCTAAAATCAGCAGCTAGAGGCAAGTTTTTTACATGGTGAAGGGTACATGTAGGCTTTTTTTTTTTCTCTTATTTAATAAGAAAGTTAAAATTAGACTCAGATTTTAAATAAAGGACTGTTTTCTGAGATTAATACCTGCCAACCGTGAAGACACATGTATTCGTTTCTGTTCATTAGAGGTTCAGGAGATGTGCAGAGCACTGTCTTACTAGGTACCACTTGCAGGGGAGGGATGTTTAATCTTAAATCTTAGCGTGTTCAAGTCTTAACGTGCTGGCTTAAAACTCCTTCTCTCGTTCTTACAGATGTGTATGGATTCTGAAAAACACATGATATATACCTTTGGAGGCAGAATTCTGACCTGCAACGGCAGTGTTGATGACAGCAGAGCCAGTGAACCGCAGTTCAGTGGATTGTTTGCTTTTGACTGCCAGTGTCAGACATGGAAACTTTTGAGAGAGGATTCCTGTAATGCTGGACCTGAGGACATCCAATCCCGAATAGGACACTGTATGTTGTTTCATTCTGTAAGTATCTGCACCGTACTTTGATTCATGATGCCTGACTTAAAGGAGAACATCTGGTTTTGATTTTTCTTGCAAGTTTGAGGCTCTTTAATCTCCAAATTGGTATGTTGTCTCACTGGATTTTATGTTAGCTGATGTTCTGATGCTTCTCTGGTAAGTGCAGGTGGTATTAATTCAAGTCTTGGAGCTTTCATGACTTCAACTGAATAAAATTTCAAGTAAAAAGCAAGGTGAATTTTAAATAGTTGATTTTAATCAAATAATGATAAATAGACCCAGAGGCCATGTTACAATTTGATCTAAAGAGAGTTTTTCTTTTAGAGTTGGTAGAGAGCATCTTAGAAGCTTCTGACCTAGGAAATACCCTATGTGGTTACTGGAATGATAAACTTGGCTAGTGCAGGGGTTTACTGGCTGTGTATTGAGATGCACAGGCCTCGTATTCCTCTGTGCTGAGCATCCAGCTGCTGCTTGTCTTGAGCAGCTGTTAACAGCTGGGCACAGATGGCATTACGGGCACTTCATCCAGAGACTGATGGAAAGGCAGAGGGATGAGGGGCCGGGGGGTGTGTAGCGTTTTATTTAGTATTGGGTATTAAAAAAACACCTTCCATTGCCTTTCCAGTTGTGCTCATCAACCACGTCTGCTTAAGTGCAGAACATGGGAACTGCAGGGTGAGGGTGGTAAAGGGAGGATGGTTAGTGTCACATGTTCTGGACTAGCTTTCCACGTAGGTGTTTTCAGTGGAATAGCACAGTACAGAGGGGATTAGCATCAAGTAGGAACTCTTGCATGGGTAGGTGTGGCGTGGTGCGGTGGCAGTTCTGCACTGAATTTACATGGCAGCTTCTTAGTGGTAGTAAGTCTTAAACTCTGACTTGGGGGTGGGGGGAAAGAGAATTAAAATTAATATTGTGGCATTCAAGTGTGTACTGATACCACCAATTGAAAACTGACCAATTTGAACAATTTACTGAGTTTATTTCTCTTTCCCTTTCAAATGAAAGATCAGAATTTTTATAGTGAATACTGTGCTTTCAGAGCTTTCGATTTCATTTTTGTTTTGAATGGCTCTCTAAAATCTGGTCAAAAACATACTGCCACACAAAATTCTGCACAGGTGCCAGAGGCTTTTTCAAATATGTGTCTGTGGTAAAAATAAGAATACAGGTTTCTGTAAGCACAGGTCATGGAAGTTTAGGTCCTTTGCTGTTTTCTCAACCATTTGAAAGAAAAATAATCTTCCTCTTACGGACTTTCCACTTGGCAAACTTGAAAGAAGTAATAAACCTGTTATTCTTGGCTTGCTGCTTGCCATTTGCCTGTTCTGAGTTTAGTAATGTGCTGGTACCTGGATGGTTTCTCTTACAGTCCGTCTTTTGTTCCTGTTTTTTTTTTTAACAGTGAAGTTATGATCTAATGGGTTTTAGATGTGGAGACTGCTAATTCTTGATATTAAACTTGAAAAATGAATTGCTGTTTTAATGTTCTGAAGTTACAGCTTGATCAGGCAAGGCTACAGTAGTTAACTATGCAAAATCTGCCTGGCCACTCTCAAGCTGAAACTGTGTTGGATCCAGGTTTGTGGTCTCATATAGATCATGAAAAAGGAATCTTTAAAATTGCATTTGTGTCCTGGTTTCGGCTGGGATAGAGTTAATTTTCTTCCTAGTAGCTGGTACAGTGCTGTGTTTTGGATTTAGCATGAGAATAATGTGATAACACACTGATGTTTCAGTTGTTGCTGAGCAGCGTTTATACTAAGTCAAGGACTTTTCACCTTCCCATGCTCTGCCAACGAGGAGGTGCACAAGAAGCTGGGAGGGGGCACAGCCAGGGCAGCTGACCCAAACTGGCCAAAGGGACATTCCATACCGTGTGACGTCATGCTCAGTATATAAGCCAGGGGAAGTTGGCCAGGGGGCAGTGATAGCTGCTCAGGGACGGGCTGGGTGTCGGTCAGCGGGTGGTGAGTGGTTGCATCATGTCTTGGGTTTTTTTTTCCTTCCTGGCTTTTGTCCCTGACAACTTGCCTCCCCCTTATTTCAATTATTAACCTGTTCTTATCTCAACCCACGACTTTTCTAACCTTTGCTCTTCCGATTCTCTCCCCGATCCCACTGGGGGGGGCGGGGAGGGTGAGCAAGCAGCTGTGTGGTGCTTAGTTGCCAACTGGGGTTAAACCACGACAATTTGTGAGGGGCTTTTTGGGGTGGAGAGGCTGTGAGCCCTTAATGGTTTGGCTCTTGAAACTGAGAAATCATGAATTCAAGAATCGAGAAAATCAAGAATCTGATCAAGAATGCTCAAGTTTTTATTGAGTTTGAGAATAACAAACTGTTCTGCATAATTGTTCCCTGTGAATCTTTGTGGAGATGGAGGTAAGGTATTTACCAAATAAAGATTGGTGGACCTGATAGTTAAGGCATGATTTTAAACTTAGGAGAAACACATATATTACTCCCTGATTCATTCATGTTTTTGTTAGTGGTCACAGTTGGCCAACGAACTTTCTTGAGCTTGGTAAAGACATACTTGTGTTTTCCGTTCTAGAAAAATCGCTGCTTATATGTATTTGGTGGCCAGAGATCGAAGACTTATTTGAATGACTTCTTCAGTTATGATGTAGACAGCGATCATGTGGATATCATATCAGACGGCACTAAGAAAGATTCAGGGATGGGTAAGAGTATAACTACATACTAATTTCTTCCCGTTGGTACAAATGAGAAATACGTCGTTAGGTAGGTGAAAGGCCAGCTTCAGTGTCCTGTGGTATCAGGTTAGCATCCTTAACTAGCCCTGTGTACCCAAGTAAACTCCACAGTATATAGGTTAAACTTACGCCAGCTCTTCTGTCCTTCCTGTCACTTGACACTCGCCATCTTCAGCACAATACAAATAATTGATGCATGAAACCACATAGCACCTCAAATGAAAAAAAATTCAGCAAAATAAGAACTAAAAATATCTCCTTTGAAACTCCAGCAAAGACCAAAAAAAAAGGCTGAAAAAATAATTTTCTTTAAACCAGGAAAGGAGAAAGCAATTTTTTTTCTAGTTTTCACCAAGTGAAAGATGCCATAAAATAGAAATAATCTGCTTGGTTTGAGATGCAGAAAGGCAGGTAGAATGCTCAGAGACAGAGAATTGGAGTAGAGGGACAGAGGTTATTTTGCCTGGCAGGGGCTAACTGGAAAGATGAGACCTGTTGTCCTGTTATTCTTGTACTAAATTATCAGGGAGTGGCACAAAAAGGTAGGAGGAGGGAGCAAGGCTTCAGTCCTGTTTTGGTTCATACCACTAGAGCTATATACACCAGACATAGTTCTGTATACCAGAAACCATTAAAAACACCCAAAAGGCATTGTAACACAACCATAAAGAACTGATTTTATACCTCTTCTCCTCAAATGACAGAGAAGAATGTTCTTTTTTTTCCGAAAAGGATTTCTGCATGTATAAGCCCATCACTTTGCTGTGTTGCAACTATCCTGATTTTCAGCGTACAGCTCAGAAGTGCAAATTTGTGTTGCAGTGTGTACTACTATAGGAGAGAGGTTACGAGTATTTCTCACATTGTGTATGTTTAGTCCCAATCTTGTTTTCTCTTCTTCTAGTAACCAAAATCCCAGGAAGCTAATTTATATTGAATTTAGGCTGCCCTCCTTATTTTGATTAGGCTTAATTTTTAGCAAGTAATTTTGCTGAACTTTTGAAATGAATTATTGATGGTTATGAGTTATTGTTTGCTCATTAATTTAGTTATGCCAATGAGGGAGAAGAGTACCCAAGCTCTTATTCTCTGGAGTCATTTATTTACTTGAGTGCTTCCAAGAAAGAACCAGTTTGTATTGTTGACAATCTCCTTTATTAAGGTGCCTGCATTGTTGCCTGATGCTGCTCTACGCACACCTACGCACCATTTGTTGTCCTTAGAGCTTTTAAAGAATTTATTATTTTTTTTCCCATGAAATTGCTAGCATTCTGCCATTTTGCTTTTTTAAAACTACATTTCTTTACAGCCAGAAGCTTTAAAGCATGTGGCTTTAAGCTGACACCTGTGTCTACTTCAGATTTAAAGATACCGAGCTTGCCTTATGGCTGGAGAAGACACTGAGCTCTGCTTCTCAGCAAGTACATTAACTGCAAAGTTCGGTTAAGCAAACGAGACTAATATTTAGCTCTCCTCCCCATTCCCACAGGCCCTGAAGTGGTGAATAGTAGACTTTGTAAGAAAGTGACTCATTGGAAATAATACATGAGTAGATTTTCAGTTTACTGTTCTCCTGTGTGTAGAAAGTAAACAGATTTGAACGTTTCCCTTGCTTTTGAAAGAAGATGGTAGGATTATTTGCATTTTAACAGGAAGAGGACAAAATGCTTGTTACATTCAGACAGCAAATGCTGACAGCACTATTTTCACCCAAAAAAGCAAGTCTTTATAGTGCTCTTGTTAGGTAGCGATACACCATTTTGATCTGTATGAACAAAGTGATTCCCTGACTGGTCGCTGTGAGGTTTTAAGCTGCTCGGTGTGATGAGTCAAGTTGAGGATGCCTGACCTAAATGTGCCTATAAAGTCCCATGATTACATTTTGTTCCTGGCTCGCATGTGGCATTCAGTTCTATTCTTAGTTGAGCTATTTTGATTTTTACCCTTTCTAAAAGAACTTAATTGTGCATTTGCTTAAAATTTCCATTAGAGTAGTGGGAAGATTTTTAAAAAAGTAGTAAAATGGGTAGTTAAGGATTATCAGTAATACGGAGTTGTTGCAATACTAGAAAACTATGGTAATGATATGTTGGTTTGCTGCTCTCATCTTCTGGATGAGCTATTTATGCTGTTGAGTGTTTCTTTGCTCTTAGTTGCTTTTGATGTTGATCCTGGAACCAGTTTCTTGTATAGGTGTTGTGTTTGAGAGAATATTGGGTGATAAGTATCACTTAAATTTTCTTAATTTGGAGTAAAGGACAATAATTGTAGCAAGTTTAGATGTGCTTTTTTCATTCCTGGGAAAAGTTCAAATTTGGTCAAGGTACCGTTTCTAAAAGATGGGTTTGCACACAGCTTTGCCTACTAAAAATGTCTCCTGACTCGATCCGCTTTGAACATGGGTAAGCCTTACAGCTCTTCATGTCTGGCAAATGCCATTTGCCAGTGAGCGTGAGTGCTTTCTCCAGCTCATTGCATCAAAAAACCTGGTGTTTTCTCTTTGTTGTCAAAGGAGGGCAGTACAGTGAAATTAGGCCATCGGGGATGGTTATCTTTCTGCTGCCTGAAAACTGTCAGGAGCAAGAAATTTGTTAGTTCAGCTAGAGAATGGACAAAATGGGACTGAGGAAAAGAGAATGCAGCTGTGATAATGAGTCGGATATGAAGAAAGGCAGTAGTGGCACAAATTGGAGGAAGCGTAGTACGGTTGAATAGAGCCTGTAGTCAGGGGAGAGGCAGAAGTGTGTATGTTGATGGACATACCCTTTTAGAACAGTCGTATACTTTTAATTACTTTTATAAAAACAGCAACACACAAACAACAAACCCCCCCAAACCCAACACGCATATGCCAGGGTGTATCTCTGAAGCATACACGTGGTCTAGAGATGCCACCAGTATCAGATGTCTTCAAAAGGCTATACTGACAGCTTGCCTGACTTGCTTAGCACACAATCCATGACTAATCACGGGCAGTCATTTCAGGTCTCAGGGAGCTAATGGGAACACTTGTGGTCAAGGTTCCTATGATAATCCTTTTTGGCTGTGACTCCGGTGGCGTGTCAGAGACGTTGGTCAGAGGGAGAATTTCCTTCTGCAAGAGAATCAAGATCATCTTATATCCCTTGGCATCGAGTAACTTCCAAAGTCAAATGAGAACGTTCCTGTGGCTCCTTTTAATGGTGAAGTAGTTCTTAAGGGCAGACTACGAATATTTCTTTAGCTACCAGTGAAGTTCCCAGGTCTCTTGCTGGGGCAGGTGCTCCTTCGAGATACAGAGCTGTGCACCTGACAGACGGGAGGTTTCATGGATAAGTACCACGGACAGAGGCGACAGCCCAGTCCAGGAAATCCTGATTTAAAACAAGACGATGTCAGAAAAACAGTAATCAAAATAGAAAGCACAGCTAGCCCAACATGGTCAGGATCCGACTCAGACAAGCAGTCTCAATATCCCATTTTTGATCGTCTGTTTGTGACACCTGACACGTTTTGCCCTTGTTTAGTTTAAGGTCTACCTTGCCAGTGGCCAGCATGTCTCTTGCCATGGAAGCGCTTTGTTTCGTGAGGGACCTTATGTGCTTTTCATCTTGTGAGGTGCTTCTCTGAACCGATCTCAAAATACTTCCCTCCTACTATGAAGGTCAGGGGGAGAGCAGGCAGTCACCAAGTCCTAAGGATGCTTTACAGAGATGTCATAGCAGCAGAATTCCATTCAAATACACTGACCTGTTTTTTCCAAAATCTCACGTTGCTTGGGAGAGAACTGAGTGTTGGACATCGCGTTGTTGCTTTTTCAACATGACAACCAGACTGTTCAAATGGTCTCCGTAGTTGCTCCTTGGCTGACTGCCAAATGCAGTCTCATCATGAAAAATCCAAGAGGATAATCGTTATCTTGCTGTGTCAACAGCTGGCCTGCATGCTATCTCTGTCATTCATCGAGGTTTGCTCCACTAAAGTTCAGGGGAGGTGCTGCTTCAGTTTTATATGGATTACAAGTAGTGGTATGGAGTAACTTGCTGACCTACCGCTTTTTTTTAAATTAATCCATCAGGGAGGTGCCAGGTTCTGGTGAACAGCAATATCCATGTGATGTAGCTTTCTCCTATTTTTTCTAATCACGAGGCATCACAAGGAGGGAGGATACTTGCAAGTCACTTGTAGCGGGATTAGCAGTAACGTGTTGTGAGGGTTTCGTAATTTAGGTGGCACTAAAAGGCTGTCAATGAACTTGCTTCCCGTAATTATCCTTCACAAATCCTTCAGAGGTGGTCTGCAGACTACAGGTTTCATCATTGTTTTGCCAATGCTGTGTTTTGAAGCATGTTTAAAAACATGCTACAGTATCCCCTCAAATGAGAGAGGTGAGATTTAATTTCCAAACTTCGTCTAGTGCTATGAGAATCACATCTGTGAACTCCTGATTTACTGCTTTGCAAACTCTGCCTCTGTGTAAAAGCTCTGTTTTCTTGCTTAGATACTGGCAGCAGCCAATGCTGTGCTTGAAACAACAGTAGCTGTTTGCACGTGTAAGCCAAAAAACATTCAGCTTGCTGAAATGATCACTATGATCAAATAAATGCCTTTAAGTAGGGACTGTGGTAATGGGAACATATCTGTTTCACGATTAGGTGTCACTTTTGTAGAAAAGCTTTTCCCATGCATTATATTTAAATTGAAATTATATTGTACAGGGTTACACAGCGTCTTATCGAAGCTTTCTCAGGAATTACTAGTTTATGTAACTGGCTGCTAACTCAAGGCCTGTGTGGCTGAATATTGTTTTCAGATATTGAGGCCATGAGCATTTCATTTTTGCTATATAAAAATAAATGAAAAGGTTATGTTCTGGAGAGATGGTTCAGACCTCTTATTTTCAATTAGTTACTGCCCTTCTACCCTGGACTGGTTAATGAGATTATGGGGAAAAAACCACAGTGGCACAAGAAAAGCACTTGCCATCTACTAGACTCTTTGGGATTGTATTGTGTTTAGTAATTTCTCTGTACAGCTTTTCCTCTTCAATCTGTAACGTATTGTCATAGGAGCCAAGTTAATATCACAGAGCGACAGGCCAGTGCCGTGTTCCAAACAACCAGGGCTAAGTCCTCAGTCGCTGCTTTATGTCCTTCGAGCTGTCAGCCTGCAGCTGACCTGAGTGATCACCAGGCCTGAGAGGCACTCTGAACAGCGTGAAATCCGTGGAGGTTGGCTCCAAAGCTGATTTACATCTACATCTATGCAAAGAAGTAGAAGAGCGAGGGAACTTCCATGGAGCCATTCTTACCATGTTATGTACCCCTTGGGTCGAGGACATTGCAAATAATAGTTCTTGCAGTGCACTGGCATTACCGTGTCTGATTCTCACTCCTTGTTGTTTATGACTTTTCTGAGTCTTAAAATTTAAAAAAAATATATCCTAAGCAATCAGTTACTGTCACAGGTTCAATTTTGTCTCCCACGGAGAATTAAATTTCCTTCCCAGTGTACATTTTGTTAGCGAAATATCACAAGTACTTTTCACAAGTTTACAGCCCGTGTCCCTCTCTAATATGCTGACTGCAATCATATGAATTCTATCCAGCATTTACTGCAGGTCCGCTGCACTTGCAGATTATGAAGCTCTCTTACCCCCTAGTGGAAGCGTTTGTCAGTCATGAGGATTTTACGTAGTCCTTTTGCTCTGTCAAGGATCAGACTTCTTTGGTAAACATCTTTTCGATGTTTCTGTTGTGTTTAAAATGCCACAGCATCTCCCCTTACTGTGTAGTAGCTTGCCTTGTTTCCTCATTGTTTTATTTTCAGGGGCTTGTTTACCAAATTTGTGTTGTCTTGTGGTTTTTAATCATATTATATCTAACTTTCTAGTTCGGTCTTCCTCTGCAAAAGACTAGATGTCAACTTTGTCTAGCCTAAGGCACTACTTAAATATGGTTTCTACAGAGTTGCTTAGATAGGTCAAAGAGGTTAGGAACGTTGCTCCTTGTCTTAGGCCCTTATTAAATGTAGGGATATATATTTTTGGAGATGATATTTTTCTAGGCATTCTGCATTTCAAACAGTCTCAGTAAGAGATTGATGTACAGCTGAGGGAAGCCTGAAATTATTTGACTTGAATTTGGTTTTGATTGCAGTTGCTGCGGATAAATCCTATTCTTACTATCAAGAGTAAAAAACAGAGGCACTGAACTTTGGCGGCTTTTCCCTCTTTCATTATTTAAATAATAATTTCAGCTTCAGGAAATTGAGCATAAACTAGATAGAAAATTCATTTATTTAGCAACATTTCAGGCGGGAGGGATGGGACTTCCATAGACAAGTTTCATACGCTTTCTGTATCAACGGTAATATAACAACCATATTCCTCATGATTATAATTTTCATTTCAATAAGCCTGAGGTATTAATGCTCTGAAGATTTGCATGCTTTTTTTTCCTAAAAACCCGGCATGGTCTCGAATGTTCAAAGCAGCAGATAGGGTTGCAAAGACATTTTCCATGTACATTAGCATTGCTGATCAAATTTAGATGGCTCTCCTGCCAGAAAAGTCTCAAATATGCCTTGAATTTAATCCTTTTGGGTCAATGATTCAGTCCCTGACTATGCAAGCAAACACATTACATGATACTTTTCAAAAATTAATGATATTTGATCTATAATTGTCTTTTTGTTCTCAATTTCCTTATTGGGTGACTTTCACAGCGCTCATTAGTCTTATTTAAAAACTTCCTTGTGGTTTGCAGCTAAGACAAGGTATGTAGTTGTTGTTGTGCCAGCATTGTTCCCTGCTTTTTTTTCCTCTGCTCTGCCACCCATTTGCTTATAAACTGGATTAATTTTCATTTGAAACTTTGTGGCAAGGTTGGAGGTCAAAATAGGCAGGCTTATGCTGACGGGGGCTCCAAAGGCTCTGCCTCCTGCTTTCCTGTAAAACCATAAGCAAGGATTTTGGCGACAGGACTCTGAGAATGAATTATCTGAATATATTTAAGTTTCTACTTTTATGTAAGAATTAAGCTTTTTTTTTTTTAAGAAATGTTTGGGGTTTTTGGCTTTGCTAAACATTTCGGTAGGGGCTTAAACTGTAGAAAACTAAATGCTCCTCAGAATTTTCTAATTGATACTTACTGCTTTCCTGGCCTACCAAATGAGAAGACTGAAGTACGAGACCAAAACCTATTCCAGAATGGGCTTGCAAAATACTGTTTTGTGTGTTCTTAAACAGCAATATTAAATGGTTTATTAGCGAAGGGCTTGTTTTCTAGGCCGTATTTGCAGTTCACAGTTAATTGCAGGGAAGAATTTGCAAAATACAAGAGTTCTGAGAATTTTTCATGCCAAAATCTTGATCGAAGGCCAGAAACCTTTACCAGCCTTTGTAAACTGACCCAGAAAGAGAAATGAGACAAACAGGATCTGTAAACAAAGGTCACGTGCTCTTCACAAATACATTTTGGAAGGATGGTTGCCTAGGGAAACAGGAAATGGGGAATTATACAACAAACAAAAAGGACTGCCAAACAAATTTGCTGACCTTTTTTCGGGGAATTATGATGAAAACTGCTGGAATCCTCAGTATTTCACCATATTTCTAAATCTGAAGGTGGAACAGAAGAATAGCTTGGTAATTATACCACAATTATTTAGAAGATACAAAAAACTTCCCTGACATCTTTGTCCTAAAGGAGGCAATGCGAGGTTGTGAGCTATGTAATCTTGAGTTCATCTTGAATTTTTTTGAGTTTCCCAGCTTTTGCAGTTAAGCTTTCTGGAATCAGTGCTTCCTTTTACAGATGAGATAATAACAGTCACTCCATTCATGTCTACGAGGATCATCTAGCTCTATCTTGAGGCGGTTTAATCCTTGTTGCTGAGCTGGTAGTCTCCCAAATATCCCTGCCTATGCCTTTTGCTATGAAACAGCAGCTTTCAGAATGGTTTTTTTTGCTTTCCAGGAGTTGCAAATAGGAAGGGAAAAAGAGAATTTGCATTGGACTTGTCCTTAGCAGGGAAGGAGTCAGCCTCTGGGTGATGTTTCTCCTCCTCCTCCCTCTCGCCCTGCTTTGGAGGGCATGTGCAAGAAGCAAATTGTTTGCTTGGTGACTTCTGCATGCCTCCTATTTTGAGATGTGCTATTTCAGTTTTAAGTTGTGGTGAATAACGAGATCGCTGTGGAGGAGAGGTCATAGAAAATGCCAGCTTGGGATCACTCAGTCCCAAGTTTTGGTTTTATATGAAAGATGAAGAGGTGAAAGTAATTAAAAGGAAGAAAATGGGCAAACTAGGTACTGATGTTAAATGTAAGACGCTCTTTATCCCAGAATACTGAAGAGGTAGTTATGTGAAATCTCATGCTTGTACCATGGATATTAGAAAATCTGCTGAATTGCAGGGGGAGGGAAATGCATTTGTCTGATGCTTGGATCCCTTCCTGTATCCTCTGTTGTTTTCAGTGTGTAACTTTTTTTTTTGTCAGTTCCAATGACAGGTTTCACTCAAAGGGCTACCATTGATCCAGAACTGAATGAAATCCATGTCTTGTCAGGGCTCAGTAAAGACAAGGAGAAGCGGGAAGAGAATGTAAGGAATTCCTTCTGGATTTATGACATTGTGAGGAACAGCTGGTAAGTCGATGAAAGGGGTGCTATTTCTAACATCTACACTGACTTTCTTTAGAAAGCAATCCTACATGATCCTGTCTCCCAGGTAACTCTCTAACCTCTTACAACCATGGAATGGTAATGTTGAAGACAACTGAGTTCCCCTTGAGGCACCTCTTTTTCCCATAGTCTTTAGAGGCACCATGGCAATAAGCCAAATGGGGGAGAGAAATCACGTGAGCTTCTTTTTTGGAGGGAGGTAGAGGGGTTGAGGGGAAGTAAGCCATTATAAGAAGTTTTTCCTGTAGGAAATGTTCAAGGCCAGGGTTCAGCATTAGTGCAGCAAATTCAGTCAAATGTGAGTGGTTAATAACAGCGTACGTGGTACTAGCTATTAGAAACTCAGGAAACTGGTCTGCCGTATGAACGGTGATGGAGAAGTCTTCGTGCTAGATCTATCAGCTCTTTCCAGGCTGCATGCAGTGGTATTTCAGGTAGCTGCCAGAGCCAGTATTCTGAGAAGCTATATCCTTGTCTATTTGCTGTTTGGTATTTGGTAGTTGGTTGCCACTGCCCCTTTCCAGAGCTGGCAGCATTTTTGTGTTCAAGGTCTTTTCTGATGTGGGGCCAATCACTTTTAAGGGTGTGAATGCTGTTTTTTAAAAATGGTGTTTCAGCTGGAAAAAACAAGTCTGCTTGGAAATCAGTGATTGAAATGCTAGCTTTGCTGAAGTTTCTGGCCTATAGCTCTACTGTGTCCAAGATGGTATACTCCATAATGAAAAATACTTCATGCTGACAGTTCCGCTAGCAAATAATGCAACATCTAAAGATACCTCCAATGCTCATGATACAAATTTTTCTAGAATTTTTTCCTGTTTGGCTTGTGATTGAGGACTGTGTTCAGCCAAGATGGCCTTCTCTGATTGTTGGATGTGTTTCTTTGTAGAGCTAAGAATGGGGATGGGGTAATAGAGGACAATATATAGAGAAGTAAGAAAATCTTTGGTGTTATATGCTAAGCAGTTCAAATTGACATCATTTGTACCTTATAGCCTTTCACTAGCTTTTTCTACTTCCTGTAGGTGATACTAATCATTACTTACTGCCTTGTATTTCAGGTCTTGTGTCTATAAAAATGACCAAGCAGCAAAAGAGAATCCAGGTAAAAGCCTTCAGGAAGAGGAACCCTGCCCAAGGTTTGCTCATCAACTGGTGTACGATGAGTTGCACAAGGTATGAGGGTCCAGATACATATACAGTGATTTTTTTCTTTTAGTCTTGCTGCTCTTCCGGTGTAGTTACTTCTTCAAAGATGGTACAATGAATATAGCTTTTTGTATAGTGTTAATGTTTGGGTTAATGTGGTGGGTAACTTTCATATAACTTACTATCATCTTTTGAAATAAGGTGCTAAGCTACTTCTTATGTCAATGTGAAGTAGACATGATAGCTCCTAGATGAAATCAAAATGCAGACAATGGAATATACTAAACCTCTACGAAGCTGTCAAGCGGCTAGCTCCTAGTTGTTCTCGTACTTGAGAACACTTGAAGCTTCGTTCATTATCTTCAGGGGCTTAATCTCACAACCTGTTAGTGACTAAATGGTCGCAGATACTTACCAGCATTTCTAGGAGAAAGTGTGTTTGAATGAACTAATCACTGTTAAGAATCTGCTCTAACAGAAGTGCCTTACTTTGCCCCGCATGTCAGAAGCAACTGTCATTCTTTAGCACTGTCTGACTTTAATGGACACGTTCATGCTTAAATGTACCTAAAATTGTTTGTAGCGTGCATTACTGCTCAGTAAACTTAGGGCTTTGTGCATATTAACCAATAAAGCACAAACCCACGGATTAGGTTACCATAACTTCATTAACCTATGAATTTAAATTACCGTGACACACTTACTTAATCTTTCACGGATATTTTGCAATTAAAATAAACCTTCTCTAAATATTTTTTTAGTCTGAAACAGTCTGAACTGAAAAAGACAAATATGCTTTAGTCTTATCATTCCATGGGATGTTAATCAAATTTGAGAAACCCAACTAGCCCAAGAGTTTGGGGGTAAGGGGGTTTTTAAGGAGGAATAGGTATAACTTCTGTATGGGGAACTTGTATGGTTTGTCTTCATCATGGACATTGATGTTGGACAGTAAATACTGTTCTGCCTTTAACGGCTTACTTCTAAGTGTAAGGTACCATGAGATAGAGAGCAGTATTTTATAAGTTACTGTGAAGGTTGCTAAATCATGGCAGTTGCCCAGCTTTATCTGAAGAGCGGTTTGAGGTACTTGTTTTGAAGAGTCTTATTTTTAGAAACCTCTGTTCAAATGACCTTTCTAAACTCCTCTGATATAAATAAGGAGAGCCTACATCAGTGGGATGCAGAATACATTGTTTTGAGTGATTATTTTTAAAGCTGTGGAGAAAGGTAGCCTGTTGGACTTCTTGAACCTCAGTATTTGAAGACGCTTTGTGACATGTTTAATATCAACAGTGCAGAGTCTGAAATGCCAAGCGATGTGAAGAAGAAAAAAAGTGAAGAAATAAACAGTCCTTTTCTAACACTTCTACTGTTCTTGAGATTTGCCTCTCTCTAAGTCTAGCCTTGCATTTCAAAGGTGTTTTATCCTCAAATTATCAGAACGGCTGTTAAAAACTGCTTCATTTGAGCTACCTTGAACAAAAAAAAGCATTTCGCATATGGGTATATTTAGTATTTCCATGACTGGCATCTCAGGATTGCTAGGACTTTTTTTTTGAAGACAATCACAGTAATGGTTGTGACTTCTGATTCTAAATAAGATTGGTGTTTTCTTCCTCAGTTCTTCTTAGGATTACAGTTTTTGGCTTTTTGTTTTACTCTTTATTCAGTTAGCTCTTTCCTTTGTGCCCCAGGCAGTGTATTGAGTGTCTCACAGCTAGGCTGCTGTATTGAGGTGAGACAAATCTGCCCTTCCAGAGGCCATGGGAATATTTTTCTCCGCAAGTCAAATTAAGGCTCTGTAGAGTTTATGGGACATGTTGGGGACACAGGCCTGTTGGTCATCTCCCAAGATTATGCTGGGCTGGGCTTGTTGTCACTTTGAGCATCTTTAAGACTTTGCCAGTGGCCCTTGTCTTTGGGGAAGATAATGGTCTTCGCTGACTCAAGGAAAAGGCTGCTCGTCTGAACTGTGGTGCTTTTAGTAGTGCAGCTTTACCAACAGTGCTCTGACTGGAGCCAGAGCATCAGTCTACAAAGTCGCTTTTTTCTGAGTCTGCCTTACAAGCATAAATGTTTCTTCTTCAAAGGAAATGTGTGATTGCTGGAGTCATCTCACAATTACATGGGTATAATCTGCTCATCCCCAAATTAGAGAACGGCTTAATACAGGTGCCTTAATTTAGCCTCTCTTGTGACAACGAGAATTTGGAGTCTTTGAGGACAAGATTGGAGAAGAGATTGGTAATCCATTAGTTTGAGTATTGTTTGCAGCAAGTATTTTGACCAGGGCAACAAGAGTTGGCTCAGATCCTTCTTTTCTGCTCGTATCTTATGTAGTTAAGGATTTATCATGCTCATAGGTTTTTCCTGAAGAAAGGGATTGCGTGGTTTGTGAATGTTTGTTTAGAAATATCTCAGGAATCTGCTAGAGGGAGGTTCTAACAGTGCAGCTTTTTTTATTATCTTAAAATGTAAGCAGTTTAAGAGAACTTTCTTCATCTCCTAGGGGACAAAGTAAGGCTAATAATAAGATGGAGCAGCTTGTCTAAAAGGCAGTGTTTTCTCCCTCCAGAATAAACCTCTCCAAAGATGCTGACATAGTAAATAGTCTTTGTTTAACGGATGTACACAAACAATCAACTTCTTGATCTGCTTCTCATTTGCTTAGGTTCATTACTTATTCGGAGGGAATCCTGGTAAGTCCTGCTCTCCAAAGATGAGATTAGACGATTTCTGGTCTCTGAAGCTCTGTCGACCTTCAAAGGAATACCTGCTAAGACACTGCAAATACCTCATAAGAAAGCACAGGTATAGAAACAAAAGATGTTTTGCAATTTTCTTTTCCAAAGTGTCTTTTTTTTTTTAAGTTGCTAAAACTTGAATATCTTTTAAACTGTTGTGGGAAATGCCACTTCGTTGGTTATATGATGGTCTGCAGGTTTCTTGATTATTTTTAATTTTTTAAAAATTTAATAATAAAAAGCAGTGGGGCAGGGCTAAACTACAAAAATAACTTCATTCTGGTTTTACTATGTTTTTCTGAAACTAGAAAAATCTGGCTATTGTGTGGGGAGTCGTGGGGAATTTTTAGATTCCCTTTTCACTCTGCTGCTCATCAGCATGTGTTTTGGTACTGTCACCTCCCAAGGAAATGGAGTATGTTTCTGAAACACTGTGCTAGGAGATAGTAACAGCTCGCAAGGATGCTAATGAAGTCTGGGGGCTGGATTCCTTTCCACATCTGAGACTCAACCGTGGTGAGGTCATCAGAGTTTTCATTCAGATTCACTTGAAAGACCTCACTTACGCAGAATTCAGCTACACTGGGAAGTTTCTTCCACTCTGGGTATTTCAGAGCTGCCTTATATTTGCTATTTAGGGCAACAGCTTTTCAAAATCGAGCTTATGGTATTGCCTTAGGCAAGAAATTGCAGCAGCGAGATAGCCTTTCAAGACCCAGCAAGTTATTTGAAGCCAATAAATAACTCTTTCTGCATTCTTGGTGAGAACACTTTGTTATCGGGTTCTGCCAAGAGTTGCAGGTCATTTTTTACTGACTCACAATTGCTGTGGCTGGATGAGGCCTTTTGCAGATTAGCCACGCAATAGATGTGAATTCCTACAAGAACGAATAAAGGTCTTTAGTACTGGTCAGCCATAGCAGAACCAAGCTGGCCAAGCATAGAGGAGCACAGTGCCACTTATTTAAGGTATTTCAGCTCTCTGGACCATGGCAATATCATCTAAGAAAATCTACGTGAACGTTTGGAAGAAATCACATTTAATTACCAAAATAATGTGTACGTCAGGTAACAGACATAGTCTTTGTGCTTTGCACACTGGCTCAACGACTTGCATCTTTAGACAATTTCAAAATTTGGGCTACGGGTGTCCACTACAGTATAAACAGCCAAGTAGGTGACCCAAATAGAAAATAACAATATGATTAAATCTATTCAGTGTGACTTCTTTCAGTTTGAGCTATACCCTGTTAAAGGTAACTGAAATATATTGTGAATAAAACATCTTGCATTCCTGTAAGGCAGCTGATACGAGGCAGTTAAGTAACTAAGAACACGGTTTTTAGGGTCCTCATCTCTGGAATCCAGAATTGTCACAGCTGTTTTCCTGGAGAGGCTTAATACTGTGTATTGGTGATTCAGAAGATGACAGAGTGCGATACTGCACTTGGCGGATAGGTGATGAGGAAAAAAAATAGATAATTTTAAACTTCATCCTTTCTAGGCGTACGCACCCAATTCAGTGCTGCAGGGAAATAGCTCTGCTTTCTGAGGATGCTGAGCCCAGAATCATTTTCTGAGGGCTATATTAACTTCAGGGAATTCACAGAAGTTACAGTTTCTGTTCGTTAAAAGAAAATGAGAAAATAATGGTGGTGGTGCCCAGGATTTTTACGTACATGTGCTTTTTCCAAAGGTAGGATATTAAGGCGCAATATTCATTGAATCCAGGGGTTTTCACCCCCATTGTCCCTTTTTCTGTTGTCTGGGAGAAGCAGGGAGCGTTCTCCATCCCTGTACTTCCAGTTACGCTTCTGCGCAGTCAGGAATTACATTCCTGACTCAATTACATTCCTGACTGGATATTACATATCCCTGGGACTGGAGGCTCAAGGCTTGCCTGCATCTGAACTGTGCTCCTCACATGAGGTGCTACTCATACCTTACTTTATTTGTGGAAAACAAACTGTACTAAATGTGTTATATTTATGTATTAAGAAGTTGCTGTACATATGCTTTTGACCATTTTTAGTTAGAGCGTAATACTTTGCCCTTGTAGCTCCCGTATACCCCCAAAAAACCATCCTCTATGTTTGTCTGGCTTGAAAGCATGTACTCCAGCAAATATGAGGCCGAGCTGCCATTAACATGGTTTTATTTGGAAATATTTGGCTGAAAGTTTTGTTTGATAGGTTTTGCTCTTTGTAGAAACAGTAGTACTTAGTCCTGAAGGAAATGGTTGTGCTCATGTTTTCTGTCTCTTTGCAGGTTTGAAGAAAAAGCTCAGACTGACCCTCTTAGTGCACTGAAGTACCTGCAGAATGACTTGTATGTAACTGTGGATCACTCAGACCCTGAGGAGACAAAAGAGGTAGTGATGAACGACCTTTCTCTTACAAAGAAATGTAAACTGTGTTCTCACATGGAAGCTTTAAGCCTCTTAAACCTTGTTTTTATTCAGTTTTAAAAAGCTCTACAGGTGCATGACACTTTGCTATATCCTATATTTCTCCACACTAAAGATCATACTGCTTTGGAAACAGTCATTTTACAACTGTGGTTCCAGATAAAATAGCTTTTGTACTCATAATAGTGAAGACTAGGCCTTTGTTTTAATTCCAACGTACTGGTGTGTATTTTGGGAGCTTTAATTGAAATGTAAACTCTCTGAAATGTCACGAGTCAGTAGCTGGTTGTGTGGTAGAAAGTGAATAGAAACTCTTATTCACGCTGTCTTTTGGCTTGTCAATATTAAATTGCTCTGGGGGAAGGAAAGAGGTTTTTCTCTAGATGATAAGTATTTCTAGAAGTAAATTGTATATATCCATTGCTCGCTAACCTTAAACTCTTATTTCCTCTGCGTTTTGAATATTATCCAGTAGGCATGTTCTTTTATTTGTTCCAGGAATTTGCTCCTGTTTTGATTCCATTACTGCAGTACGTGTCACTTTACGAAAGGATTAAAGAAATAGTGAAAAGTGTCAGATAAGGTGGTTGATTTGACTCTGCCATTAATTTCCACATGGAACTTGGGGCAGCCAGCTGGATGCACAAGCATTCAACTCCTGACGGGTAGATGAGGAAGAGCGAGACCATGGTTCTTATTCTCTTCTTGCGTTAATGACTTTGGAAGTGGTTCGACAGTTCCTTTTATGAAACTGCGATAGGAGAATAGGTGCTGTTACTCCATGCTGAGTCTCTGGATTAAATCACTTAATCTGTTGGTTTTAACTCGTTACTTTAGATAAAGAAAAGATCATTATACAGGCACTAAAAGCTCTTGGGGAGGAATATCCTTCTTGCATATGCACAGTATAGAATTGTAGGGTTAGCAACATTACGAAAAGATATTTACTAATATAAGGATCTTGGAACTGATCACGTTTGTCATAAATTCTGGTTAGCCTTTTATAAACATCTGGTCCAATAAAACATTTAAGTGCTGTGCTTGATAAGTTCTCTGTTAGATGGTTTGTCACTGGAATTGTCCCATATCAAGTACTTTCACATCTTTTCTAGCCATTTCTAGCATAGGAAAGACAAATAACAGATAATCCTGCTTTTCTTCAGCTGGAAAAGGAGATTTCTCCTATGCAGCATGCTTCAAGGGGGCTCAGCCCAATTATGCTCCATCTTACCAGTGCAGTAGCACTTTCCTCTCCCTAACCGAACCTGTAATAACCTATAACATACAACCACCATTCTGATGCTCTCTTCTCCCCTTCTCCCTCCCACCCACAATAAGACTGTGTCCTGTGTTCTCTGATCTCCCTTTTTCTCCATGTCATACCTGCGTGCTGGTAAGCCCCATCGTGCCGGTGAAGGCCATGTCTCTCTTTGGCCAGTTACTCCTAAAGAGATCTTGCATCTCATGGCTGGCTGTGCCTTTTTATTGCTTGAACAGAAAACACTTGTGGTGTGATCAGCAAGCTCCCCTCCTTTTATTCTTACTACCTCCTGTCACCAGCAGACCAAAGGAACTGCCGTAAAGGCTGCACATTGTGCACATCTGGCATCGGAAATCATTTAATATTCTACATTTGATATTCCCAGTTCAGTGTGTAGTATTTAAATTGTCCGCCTTGTAAGAATGAAGAATTTCCCTGACTGCATGGAATCCTCTGAGATTTTGGGGAAAAGTAGTAGCTTTATCATACAAGGTAGAAATAGAATAAAACATTTGAAAGAAAAAATAGCCCTTTTCACAGAGCATACTAATGTTCTGCAAGTTTAATGATCTAGTGTATAAGCTTAGGTAGGCTCAGTCCAACTGAGTGAATGTATTGTGAATCCTTTCTCTGCAGGCCTGATGCCTGATCCAAACAAAATTCAGTAGCTTCTGTCCGTCGTGCTGGTCTGTCGGATCAACGCATAGTGCTCAGCGGAATTAAAGCTTCGGTTCCAGTGGTCTCCTAAAATAATTTAACAATTTCTGGGAGGCTTTTTTGTTTGTGGGTTGGGGTTTTTTTGTTCTTTTTTGGTTGTTTTTTTTTTTTCAAATTGTGTTGGTCAAAAAGCTTTAACTTCCAGAGCTTTTTACGCTGGAGCAGATCTGCCAGGTATATGGCACAGAGCCTGGTACTGCACTGGTACTGACTGGGTGTCTTTCCAGTTGACGTCAGTTTACCTTCTGGTTATCACATTGAGTTGGCTTTTTGCTCTGGCATTACATCTTCAAATAGCTCTTGTGCTTTCCAAAGGACTGACGCAGGCTTTTTGGATTCCATATCAAATTTCAACCACCCGTTTGATTGTGTATCTCAGCCCAGACACCTACATACTCTGTCTTTATTTGTAGTTGAGATCGTCTTGATTAATATCAAAGGCTGTATATCTGGTTTGCTCTGTGCCGGCTACAGCCATTGAATGTTGTAAGGCTTCTTAGTGCGGCAAATCTTAAGGGAATTGTTTTTTTCCCCTGTTCTTTTCCCTCTCTCTCGGGCAACTGTTAAAATTGGGAAGGACCAAGCTGAATAGGTTTATCACTGACGTTGTGCTATGGTTCTCTTAGACTAGTCTATACGGTTTCATGTTTTATGGATTGAGATATGGGTAGTGTTACATAATACTACAAGCAGAATTTCACTTTGAGGTAAGGCTTACTTGCTTTGTTATTACAAAGAATTACAAGAAAGTAATTACAAAAGTAATTTCTTCTAACTTTGTTAGGCAAGTCTCTTCAGCTGTTTTGAGTTGGATGCCAAAGAAAATAAACAGACTGTTCTTGAAACTTACTTTGTCGTTAGTAACCAATTTTGTTTAAAGTAGCATGAATGATTGACAGTAGGAACATACCCCCAGATTTTCGTTCCTTGGTTGTGAATTTTAGGGATGTTAATAGGATTATAGTTTTATTTTCTTTTTTATCATTCTAAAGCGAAGTAGATGCCTGCAAGTAACAGCTATCACACGGGTGCTTGTTTTAGTAGCCACAGGCTATATGCCAGCTCTGTCTCTGCTGTTGCCCACAGATGCAGATCCAGTTCCCTTTAACTGTGATTCTGCTTGAAATCGCTTAAACCTCTTCAGTTAGTTCAGTGTTTTCAGATCAGTGAATCTTTTTTTACTGGCTGTGGATTAATAGTTCTGACTTTGTATGTAAAGGAAGATAGATCCCCAGAGCACATGGAAGTTTGTCCGTGTATTCTAGTTCACGGAGAGATTAAAGTTGTGTAAAAGACTGGCATTTGTTAGCGTAAAAATTTCTGGTGACATGGGCGTTCTATGTCATATATACACATAGATGTGCATTTGGTGGTAGCTTGGAAGTAGAGGCTTTTGAAGATAAAAGGATGGTCAAAATAGAAAAATCAAAATGAATTCCAAGTTTTGTATTTACATCAAGGAAAAAACAGGTGCTATTAAAGCACAAAACCATCAGTAGATCACATTGCAAGGCTAAAGGTGGTGTTCTTTGAACACTGGAGTAATCATACCCCAACGTTTGCAGCTGCTTAGTGGGCTATAGAAGAAATCAAGACAATACTAAAAATGGCCAGTGTTGCCCAAGTAAAGGAGATTAAGATGATTTTGTACATTGAGATTGAGACTTGGCTACTGGTGAAGCTCAATCCCATGATTGCTGTAAAACAGATACAAAGTGCAAGTAAAACTTGCTGTATGTTTTTCTTGGAGCATGGTAGGAGAAAGAGCAAGGACCTGGAGGCCAATTTGAGGCCGGACTAGCTTGTAGACTGAGGTTGGAGGCCCCTGTTCAAGGCTGCTTCATACTTTCCATTCTTAAGACCTTGTCTTTAATAAATTTGCCAGATAAAGCCAGCAGGGCCCAAAAGTATTGTTTGAGTCTGCATTAGACTGATATTTCTGGGAAAATTGAAGCCCAAATGAGAAAAATAGTTCTAGGAAGGAGCTAAGAAAAGCATGCTTCTCTTCTTCGTGTCCTGCTGTGATTCTTTGTAAAGCCTCGGAGTCCGAGTGCTGCAGGAGCAGAGGCTTTGGAGCCAAGGAGCCTTTACAAAAACAGCATTCAGCCTTCCCAACTTCAGCTAGTGACGGCCACATCCTCAAAGAATTTGAGCCTTTCGTTGCTTCTTTGAGCCTACGCTACGAGGCACCATCCCAACAGAACTGGTCAAAGCTGAGAAACTGTTTTACGCTGTGATCTGAGCACTCGCCATACAGACATTATGGAGGAGGAATTATGTCCGATTCATACAACCTGCAGGGTATCCCAAACAGGAGTTACTCATTCCCCCTTAGTGTTAACCATTTCATTTGTGCAAAAGGCAGAGGCTTGCAGCAAATATAGGAAAACTTGCATGGGTTGCCACATGGGAGGATTGCTTTTTTGCTGTAGGTGGAAACCTTGATAAAGTACACACAACTGATAAAAGGACAATGTTGGAAACATGAAGGTCATAAGTTGGAATATGCCAGAATTAATACTCCCCATGTAGCCTTAATTTAGCCTCTCTCTGAATGTGGTGGTTGATATTGGTTAACCTTATATTGGTTAGCCATATATATAAAACTAATAAGCCAGGTCTATAACTAATATAGCCTTATATTAGTTAACCAGGTATATTTATCTCTAAGGAACCCCTGCCTCAGTTCAGAAGGTGGGTTGGATCTCTGAGAGAGAAGTTAATTTTATAACAAAGGGAACTGTTGTCTTTTGAATGGAGGCTTAATTTGGAGTGGATGAAGCCAGTGAGCCAGAGGGATTGTCAGAAGAAAATGGGTGGTGGTGTGATTAAAGCAGTTGGGTGCTTCTGCTGGATAATTGAATTCTGGTCCTGCCTCTGTAACAGAGTTGCTATGTGACGTTAAGCAAATGGTTTTTCCTAGATGGTCATTAATTGGGTCTTTAATTCTGGTGCCTGATGGGAGAGATCTGAGGTGTGATTTGCTTGAGGGCTTTGCTCTTCTGGCTCCAAGTGAATTCTGAAGATGCTGCATAATACTAAGTATTTTGAAAAATCAGATTCTGGTAGTTTCAAATAGGGGACCCAAAATTAATCAGAATTTTATGTGCTATGTGTTATGATAACAATTAATACGATAGAAGAACTGCTGAAGCAAATAATTCCTTCTTTAGAGCAGAGTTTGAACTTCATGAAGAAAATAATGCATTGGATATATGTCGTGAATGGTGTGTAGGAGACCCCGTCTTGAGAAAGCAGTAACTGTCCTATGCACTTGGGGAAAAAAAAGTCGGGGTCCTTTGGGAGAACATCATACTGTTAGCTGGCATTGTAATGCAAATGCAGAATGAATCAGCTTAGGCTCAGTGCTGTCTGTAACTGATGTTCTTAATTTACATGCTTGACTTTTCTATCAGGAAGTGCTTTTTAAATGTGAGCTGATACATAAAATACAATTTCAAAACAAACAAACAACAAACCTCAAGGTTAACTGAAGTGTAGTGTCATCAGTGAAGGAGACAAATACTTCTTCCCCACAAAGCTGGAAAGAAACTCGTAGCCGTGAAAATCCATCATGCCTAGTGCAGATGAGGCTGGAATACTTGGCAGAGGGTCTTTTCAATGGATTTTTGGTCTCGGTTCAGCAAGTTACTAGCTGGATCCTGCTTATATGGTCTCTTAGTTGGGCATCCTGAGGCCCAGCCTCAAGCACAGCTTGCTTTCTGTTCACAGCAGGATGGCTGCTGGCGTTGCTGGGGGAGGAAAGGGAACCCCTCGAAGCCTGTGGCGTCTGCTTTGTCCCGGCGTAGCTGGCTTCACGTGCTACCAGGCAGTTGGCAGCAGGCCTGTAAGGCAATTGTGTGCGAGGGGAAGGTGGCCAGGACATGGCACTCGCAATCAGAAGCAGCACAGATTTCGCCACCCATTTTATTGGAACTTTTGGAGCTATTTATGCTCCAAAACAGATATTTATATCTGTTTAAATACGTTGCTGATGCGGAGCCAAGCAAATCTTACAAGTTACGCTAGCAGTGAAATACATGTGTAGCATTGCAATCCCTTTTGATTTCATATAACCAGAGCTCTCACTCAAGAGGGTGCTTAATCAACCTCTTCCCCCTGTTGTGCAGTGTGTCAATCCTGTATCTTTCTAACCTGTTCTTAAATACCTCCAGTGCTAGCTTCCCATTATAACCTCCCCAAAAGACTGCAACTTTATTCCAGCACACTATGGTCCTCCTTTTTTTTTTTTCTTGATGTCATGTTGAAATTGATCTTGCTGGAGTATTTTTGTGGCTTCTTGCACTTAGTTGTAGACTTACCTTTTTGTAGCAGCCTTTACATTTGTGACTTTTTGCAGTTTCATCTTTGGATATTCTTCTGTGGAGGCTCTGCAACCCTGACTCCTTTGAACTTTCTTTATAGAGCTTGATTTTTCAGACCACTTGATTTTTTTTCTAGTGCTTTCCTCCTGTGTTGCTAATTGATACAGGGCATCCAAAAGTGGTTGCCTTGTTGTAGATGAGACTTACGAGCCTTGATTACAGCAGGAGTACTTGATTTATTTGAAGATCCTACTCCTTTTCATGCATTTTCTACGCATTTGTCATTTTTGCAATAGGATGATACTGATCTATTATAACTCCTAGATGCATTTTCACAGAGCCTATGTACCCTGACCTGTTTTGTATAGCTGTTTTTTCCTGTTTATGTTGATTTGCACTTGGCCCTAGTGAATTGCACCTTGATCCATCATTATAAGCTGGATGAAATGCAAAAAGTCTGAAGCCTGCCTGCTACCATGCTGGCAGTCTGTCTGAGCGTGGTGTAAGGTCTGTGGACTCAGCGAACGTGTCCTGTTCTGTCAAGCAGGTTGTCACTGAAAACCCAGAATGATGCTGACCCTGGGGCACAGATGAATCACTTCTGATTCATGGCTCCATTTTGATGTCAAACCATTGATGGCTACCCACAGTAAAGTTATTTGACCTGTTCGCTACTCCCTGTTAGCTTAACCTAGGTAATGCCTCAATAATTTGCCATAAATATCGTATAAAAGCATCAGAAGTCCTATGAAAGTCAAAATGGACAATGTCTATTGCCAAGTCCCATCTGTAGGGCCTGCTGCCCTGTTGTAAAAGAAATCAGATTGATGTGATACAACTTGTTGCCAAATCCACATCAGCTGCTCGTCACCGTCTCCACTCCTAGATGCCTGCAAATTGTCTGCGTTCCCATTTTTTCTTGAAATTGAAATTAAACTGATGGATATGTAATTCCTGGCTGTTCTTCCCACTCCTTCCCTGAGCATATTTGCTTCTCTTCTGTTTTTCCCCACCCCTTCTTTCCTTTGGGCTGTGTGCTGTAAAGACACGCAGACAGGAGTCAAAAGATTACAAGCCTTTGAGGGATCGGCTAATTCTTTAAGGAAACATGACAAACCACTAAGCTTAGCTACAACATGGGTAACTGAAAACAGCAGCCGGGAGCAGAGGAAGACACTGTTCACTGTCTATCAGTGAGACATTAAGGGAGAATAAAACCGTGAATGTGTTACTTAAAACGTTTTTACTCATGATTTTGATGTTTCCAAGAACTTTTTTTTTCTTTTAGTTAAAAAGACATTGCCTTAAATTTGTGATATGAGCTTCTCTGGCAGTTCAGAAAGGTTGCTGCCATTTAAAGCTTTCTCTGTGTTCAAGAAGTTCATGCTGCACTGTAGCAGTTACCCTGTTTTCGTGCCATCGAATCCTTGCTCGCTGTGACTGTATCCTTGCTCGCTGTGACTGTACCACAGTCATCCCTGGGAATGTTGTTGTGTGGAAGAGGCTCTACCTTCTGCACTGTGGTATCTGCCAGAGAGGCAAAAAAGTATATATAAAAAATTAGGTTTTAGGGCTCCCAGTCAAATACCTTTCATTGTATCAACGCTGCTCTAATTCTAGGAAAAGCTATCCAACTTGCTCTGCCAAGGTAACAAATTGTATTGCTCATAGGAAGGTGTCTGCTGCTGTTATTCATACGTATGGCACAGTAGTTCTAAGGATTGTGCAAAGAAAACCCAGCAACTCTAAAGCCACTTGGGCTTCTATGAATCTTTTGGGTTTTTTCCTGTGCAGTTAATAACACTTTTTTCTTTTTCTTTTTTTTTTTTTTTTGCCTCCACCTCCTCTTCTGCAGTTTCAGCTTCTTGCCTCAGCATTATTTAAGTCTGGTTCGGATTTCACCACTCTTGGTGAGTATTGTGTATCAGAAGAATTATATTAAGTATGTTCCCTCCGATAAAGATCATTACTATTAGTTTCTACTGTTTTTTTAATATCAAATGTTATAGTTCATATGAATATTGTAGGTCCTTTTCGGTTTGAATGTGCAAAGTGCCACTACTTAGGCATTTGAGAGATTATTTATAATGACCACTGTCCAATGCCTCGAGCCCATATTTAAAACATCTGTCACCAGTGGTTATAAACCCATGCCTCCTGGGATCATTTTCTGTCTCTTATTACACCTGATGCTTCACTGTTACCCAAATAAACAGAAGCTTTGGTCAGAATAAAGCACCTCCTGTCATGTCACTTTGGAATCTCACAGCATGGCTACGGCTCTGTTTGCTGTGATAACTGCAATTCCTGGAGTAGTTTGGTTCGCTCTGTTCTTTGCAAAACTAGTTCTTTGGGCGGAATGTCAAGAGCAAAGAAAACAGTGGCATGTAGGGCTGGAAACAGGAGGTCTGAGCCAAAGCCATAATTTGTTTCACTATTCTGTCCAGTTAACTCTTTTAAACAGTTGAGACATTAATCCTGGGCAAGCTATAGGAAGGCTATAGGTATAACGTACATTGTTGTAATGATTGGTTGTTCTCAAGTTACCAAGCTCTCGCTAGGAGTATCGATGACTTCCAGTTTTTGACAAATGTGTAATTCCCAGTCTAAGGAATTGAGGGAAGGAAAAAGCCCCCTGCACTGTCTGCCTTGCTGGATGAGGAAGCTCTGCTGAGCTTGTGTGGTTTGGAAGTCGTTATCTAGCTGATGTTGTAAGATGGATTTTTTTAGAGGAAGAAAACCCAAGTTTCAGAAAGTTGTTTTTTCCCTAGTTTTAAGTGTTCTAAAAGATGAATTAGTTCTTGACACAATACAATACTTTATTCAGAGGTTGGCTTTACAGATAGGAGGATACGTACATCAAGTGGTGCTTCTAAAAGAAAACAAAAAACCCAGTCCCTCCTTGATTTGATTAACTTGGTTGATTTTGATTAACTGAAGAGTGAGTTCACTGAATTAAAAAGCATTCCTTTGAGATACCAGTGATTGAAGTAATACAAAGCAGAGGAAATCGTTGTATGCCCGCTCTATTGTTCTTGCTGCTGATGGTTTAAGTATGGGGATTTGGGTAAACAACGCTTCTGCTGCAGACTAAGCCCTCCCCTGTTGGGAGGCAAAACTAGTTTGCAAAGCACCCTTGTGCCAAGATGCAGCCTGGGTCCTCGGTGGAAGTCCAGTGATTAAATAGCAACTCTGACGTTGGACTCCTACCATCAGCAGAGCTTGTCTCAAGAAAAACTGCAAGCAATACAAGTTCCAGTTCTGGTTAAGACAGTAGTGAAGATAATGAGGAAAGCCTGAGGACAGAAGAAATGAGGCACCAAATAAAAATAGCTGCACAGATTTTGTTTTCTGGGACATCAGAGCAGTCCCCTGCGGATTCTTGCTTCCCCCACTTCTTCAGGACTGTCAATGAGCTTGACAGTGTTTGCTTATTACTTTTTATGGCATTTTGATTGCAGTGTTGGCTTGGGGTGACGTGATCTCTGTGTGTATATGCACATGGTAGTGAGACAGAGAGCTGGCAGCCTTGTTAGTTAAAGTTGAGGCAGAAGTAGCAAATAGTTAACATCCGTCCAAAATGGACAACTGGCATACTGCACAGCTAAACTGAGCGTTTAAAGTAGTGAGCACTGACTTGCTTTCCCCTTTTCTTCCTCCCCCAGGATTTTCAGATGTTGACCACACGTACGCGCAGAGAACTCAGCTGTTTGATACACTAGTCAACTTCTTTCCAGACAACATGACCCCTCCTAAAGGCAACCTGGTAGACCTCATCACGCTGTAACGGAGCAATCACTGGACTGTGGAAGAGGGGAAAAGCATCCATTTTCAGTATTTTAATTTTTTTACTGCATTGATTGACTGCTGGGATGAAGTAATATAGCAACCCCTAGGTGTTTGAGAGGGGTTTTATACTTGTATGGTGAATCCCTGAAGCTTTTCCCTTGGAGTAGGTTAATAAAATGTAACTGACGTACTTCCAACTAAATATATATATTTTTTCTGACTTTGGATTTTGAGTTAGCAAATGTAAGATGAAAAGGTGGGGGGAAAGAAAAAAAAATAAAACCCAATCATGCAGTGATCGCTTTTGCCTGTAGAGGAGAATTGAGATTTGTGGGTTGTCTGGAATTAAAGATGATGGGTTTTATTTTGGGTTTCGTGAGGAAGGGTGGGAGGTTCTTTGCTCATTTGTAGCTAGTCATGATATATTGCTTTATCCTACAACTCCATCCTCAGCAGCTGAGTAACTTGGCGGCAGGACACTGGCACGCGTTGAGGTAATAGTAATCTATGTGTCTTGAGTCTTGTAATCGCAGTGTGTCATGTGAAGGGGAGCGCGTGTTACAAATCACATCTCCTCGTCCCAGAACTGGGCTGACAGTAGTGTCTAATTGCATCTGATATCTGGTCTAAACCTAAATGCCTATCTTCCATTCTCTGGAGCCTTCCACTTAGACCTGACAGGCAAGTGGGAACCTCAGAGAAACTGCTGGAAAATGGGAGTGCAGTCATTGTCTGCACAGGCCCCTTTTTGGGGTTTGTTCTGTTTTCACTGCCGTGCTCTTCTGATGAGAAACCATGCAGGTCCTCGCAGAGCCCGGCAGAACTGGGTCTTCCACCACACGCACACCTAACCTCTGCAACCTGACTCCAGGTTGGGTGTAGGATTTCTGAAGCAGATTGTCTTCGTTTACGTGCACCTATGCTTCTGTGTGCGTTTGTCAATGTGTAAATGTAAAGAGGATTGCTCCCAACAGCTTGTCTCCTTCCTATGTAGTGCAGCTCATTCACTTTTAAATGCATTTTAGACCTAGATCTGAATGTGAGGGAAGCCTTTTTAGCATAAACCTCTTTGAAAGCAAGCTGATGCGTATGTATAGAAAATACATGCTTCCTCGCTTGAAAGCCTTCTTTATAAATAAGGTAAGGGCTTGGTGCTGCACTATGAAGTGGAATGCAGGATACGCGTACCCAGCATTAGAAACTTTTTGCATTTGGTGTCAGTGAGCATTCAGTACAACCTGGCGGATGTAAATATTTATATGAGACTGCAAAGCTTTACGTCCAGAAATGTTCATGCCAGTAGGGTATCATTGCTGCACCCACTGTGGCTACACGACTCCTGTTGAACTTGATGGAAGTCTTGTGTGTGCAAAGATGATTTGAACTCTTGAAATAAAGAGTTAGTGAAGTGTCTTTTTCAGAGCTCGAGTGTCTGCTTGCTTTGATTGCATTGTACTGCCTCTTTATCATGTTCTTTGTGTGGCTTTTGTAGTCCTGGTAAGTTAGAAATAAATTAAAAAACTCATACTAGTGTTTAATCACTTAGAAAGGAACAGTATGTTAAAGGCTGGGCTTTGCTTTGTCTTCAGAGAGGACATGAGACTGTTTAGGCATTGTATACTTCAGTGGATGGCAAACCAGATGTCTGTGGAAGAATCCACTCAGTGCAGTAAATGAAATCTGATGAAATTGTTTCTTTGAAACATTGCATTTTTTTTTTTCCCGGTGACATGGAAAGTTTTATGTCACTGCTAGGCTTTACGAAGTGCCACCTTTGCTGACACTTTGTTAACTAGTTAAAGTAGAGCTTATATGGTACGAATGTAGATACTGATGGTGCTATACTGGGGGAATATTCCAATTGCGGTGTTGTTTCCATTGAGGTTGAACTGAGCACTTTCAATGCAACCAGCCAAAATGCTGCAGCCCTCTAGCACTTAACATTTTAGTGCTGTTGTGCTCCCTTATCACTTGATCTCATTGCCTGTGTATTCTCCATCTTCTGTCAGATGATTAATTGCTTTTTGTGACTGTTTACTAAGAGCTTGGTTGATTAGAAAACTTTATGTGTGTACCTTCGATGACTACGTGTGAGGCTGAACCCAAAAGATACAACTAGTCTGAGGAGCCTCGGTGGCACACAGTGGAAGTTCAGGAATGCCAAAAGCTTTGTGAATGGTGTTGCTGGTGAGCAATGCGTCGTGTCAGGCTTGGTTTGTGTTCCAGAAATTCGATCAAAACTCATTGTCCTCTGCGTCGGGGGGTGCATGCAAAGCCTGAGAGCCTGGCTCAGTTTTTTGTAGCATAGCGTAAATGAATGATTTGTCAGAGCGAGGTGAACATTGCTTCTGCAGGATTGACAATCCCAGCTAATGAGAGCACTTCAGGATGATCAAATATTGACCTGCCTTTATCCTGAGCAGATTGATTTCAGCTCGCACGAGTACAGTTTATGGATTACAGCTGGTGATTAACCAGCAGAAACTATGTGCTCAGCTTCAGAGTATTTGTTGAGCAGCAGAGGCACCCTGTGGCCAGAGAGGTTAATCCAAAGTGAAGGTTTCTTGTGGCTTTGCCAAGGGTCTTCCCTGGTTCTGTGTCCTTAAAGCTAGGAGTCAAAATTAAATGATTTCTTTGCATTGGTGTATGCTACACTACCTGATTTAAAAACTAATTAAAAATTCTGAGCAGTGAAGCATAAATTTCCTTTCAAAATAAGCCAGTTATTGACAAGCAGTTACAGGGAGAGTTCTTAATTTAATTACATGCAGATCTTTAAAGATACTGGTGGTATTCCAGGAAAGTTAGATGCGAGCATTACAGAAATATTGAAGTACAAACAGAAAAGAGACCCACTTGATCTGAAAACAGCCACCTGAAAACGTTTCACAGCACAGTGCATGCAATGTTATAAATATACAAGCTGTATGTGGGAAGTCTTCGAGCCTCACCCTTACTGCTTGCAGGCTGTAGCAGAGACGGCTCTTTAGCTTACACAAGACAAGCATACTATATTTGCTTTTACCTTATATTGTAAGGTGACTTTGTGTATGGATTTAACACCGGCTAATCTTTGCACTACATTAGTTTATCTCCAAATTATGTGCTAACTTGTAAATAAGGTATTGCAAAAGAAAGCATCGTTACCTGTCAGAGAGGGACTCATTTATGGTGACTCAGGTCTTTAAAGCCAAAGTTACAAGGTTCTGGTATGTTTTTTTTAAAGCTGTAGGAAGTCAGGGTGGAATAAACTTGATACAGACATCAAGACTTCAGTCCTGGTTTAACTTTTTTTTTAAAATCCTTTTGAGATCCATGAGTTTGGTTCTTCACTGCCTCTGGCCTTCAGCATAGTTGCCCTTACAATCTTATTCAGTAGATCATCTCTTTGGAAAACATGAAATTCTTCTTCATGCAAAGTTGTTCCTATCAAGTGACATGTTCTAGAGAAATAAAACTCTTTGGATTTGATTTTTGGTCACTTGGATTAGGCAGAATTAAGTGAGTTTTTTAATGATTGTCTTGTACAACCCCTCGTAGTAGTCATGAGGCAGAAGTCCTTAAGAGTTCTTCCAAAATGACTTCTCCAAGCAAGTACTGCTATCGTAGTGTGACCTAACACATTTTCACGTGGCAGGTGGCAGAAGGACTTACTTAGATGTTTTTGTTACAAATGAGGAGACTATAGCCACCTCCTTGCCCTTTTTTTTTTTTTTTGAGGGTCCCATTAATTAGTATTGCTTCTGGTGAGACCTGAAGGGTGATGCGAAGTAGTTATTGAAATTAGTTGTAGCTTTTCTCTTCTGGGTCTTTGAAAGATAACATTTGTGATGTATTTATTCTTAAACATCTCTTCCTTTTGCTGAGTATAATGAGGAAGGAGAACTTTGTCTCAGAAAAGTTTAGTTTGCCCTTTTTCTGGACAGCATCCCATATGTGTCGTTTAGATAGTGATATCCAGTTGTGTAAATAAATGGGATTTGGTTCTGTTTGCCCGGCATGGCTCTTTGTGCACACCTGATACACGCTAGCTCAGGGGTCAAGCTGGAGGTTCCTACCAGATCAATTAACAAAATCATGCTCTCGTTTTGGAAAATCAATCTGTGAAGACCCGATTGGAAAAGCTTTTCTAAGGTATTTGCCTTGTGCAGCGGCAACTAGAGTGAAATTAGGAAACTTTCCCAAAGAACACACTAAAGCTTGCCTGTATGAAGATTGTGCTGGAGTAAGGATGCAGTGAGAGGCTTAAATTAAACGGCTGACATTTTTTGATCGTTGATTGTAATAGCCTAGCCTAAAAACTTAATGACTGAGGAGTCAGTGAGCAAATGAATTGGACCGCTTATTTGCAGGAGAGCAGGCTCTTTGTAGAAGCACTGGGGCTAGTGGCAAGGGATCGCGATAGCTTTATCTGTGTTTTTCTTTAATCAGCAGCCACAAGTGTCAGGGTCTCCATTAGCTGTTTCTTCTTCCAGAAGAGACTCCTTCCAAAGCAGAGTAATGACTCTGGAAGAGTGTTTTCCGTAGGGCTTTGTGGAACAGCTGTTTTCTGAATCATTTTCCTGATGCGTGCAAATTTTGTAGAAGGGAGTTTTCTTTATCACAAAATTGTACACCACTCTTGCCCTGCTGTGCAAACTTGCACTTGAGTGCTGCAGGCAACGAGTGATAAATTCAGAGCAGTGTTCTGAGAAACACTTGAAACTTGTTTGCTGCTCTTATTGTAAGAAAGATTAGCATTAATGCCACTTGTTTCAAATACAGGAGGGTGGCAGGTACCTGTAACGCTAATAGTATTAACTCTCTTGCTGCCTCCTGTATTTCAGAATTGAGAAGGAAATACTTTTGTAGAGCTTATCGAATGAAACTTTTAGTATGAATTAGCGCTGTGCAACCTTAAACTTGAATGCTCCTACATCTCTGCACATGCAGTAATTCTGTTGATATAATGCTGTGCTCCTTCTGGGGAAAATGGCAAAAATTATTAGATACATTTCCATTCGGTACCTTTGTTTTTAGAAGTGGAAAAATGTCTTGTGAAACCTTGAGTCCTGGTGTATGCTTTGAATTTTAGCTTATTAATTGTGGTTGGCTCGGAGCTGAGGAATGTTTGGCTATTGTCAAGTGAAGTCCTGACAGTAAAAGCAATTCATGTATGTCTCTGGAAGTGCTTGTGTTGTTTTATAGCTGTAGTTGTTACAGAAACAGAGGTGGGCCCAGTTTAAAAAAAGAAAAAGAAAAAATTATTGCTGTTCTGATTAGGGGAAAAATTGTAGAAATTCTGAACAAGCTTGGCCAATTTCGATAAGCACACATGATAATTTGGAGATGGGTCTTATTTTGTGAAAGGAGAGTTTAAGAACAACTATAGGACTTGTTCTTGATATAGATTGATAGTAGTATATAAGCTGTAAATATTGTTGAAATGTAAATGTACTGTCAGAAGCTTGTTATTACTGTATCTAAATGCCTATAGGTATGGTAGACCTGATCATATCCTGTCATGGAAAAGGTTATGCTGCAAATTATTCAAGCTGTGGTAATGACTTATAGGCAAAGATCCCTGTTTTACTGAAAGCCTCTATTATAATGAAAAGCTGGAGTGGAAAAAGTAGGTTTACTGTACTGGAACACTGGCTCAGCACTTAGATAAATTGTCTCCAGATGCTTTTATCTGTAGGCAGTGGATCCAACCGTGGTTTTAGAGTGGAAGCCAGTTAATGACCTGCTTGTTGCTGTTTGAGAGTCGCACAAGAAAACGTCGCAGTTGATGCCAGCAGGTGTCCTTTCAGCGTTCCTGGCAGAGGTCAAAGAAGCGCGTGGAATTTTGGATTTTCCACGTATGCTTTGGTATACGTAAACCTCTGAAGAGGATAGTGGTTGCGGGAGTTGTATATAACGCCAGCTTGTATGGCTTAGGCGTGGAGGTCTGCAAGGCAGCATCGTCCCCAAGCACAGGTCCTAAAGGTAACACATTGCTGCTCTCTCCTTTGCTTTCATATATCTGAACTCGATTTGTTAGTGATGAACTCCAGATACTTGCTGTGACCCAAATTCAGCTCTCTGCTTCCGAATATCTACAGCCACAGACTTGCTTAAGCTGCTGTCAGTGTATCACTTCAGTACCCTGAAATCTTAATTTCTAGTTGGTGCTGACAAAGGTACATGTTGTCTTGGCTTCCAGCTGTTTGCTAAAAGTCAGCACAGCTTTTACTGACGACCTGGAGACTGCAAGTATTTGAGTGCTGTCAGAAATCAGTTGGCTCTGTTCAGCTCTAGCGTGGCATCGCAGTTCATTCCTGGGAAAGGTGGCGTGAGTGAATAGCTCAAAACTGGCTCTACCAGGTTACATTTTTGGTTTTGCTACTAATTTGAAAGGAAAATCTCTCACTAGCATATATACTGTCCAGCGTGATGGTCAAAGCATGGTCCCTTGGGTATTCCCCCGTTCATTCCGACTTTTTCTTTCCCTGTCTGACTGTTCACTGCTATTAAAATGCTGTGCCTTCAGATTTCCCTCGGTTTAATAGAGTACCTACTGAAGAATTAAAGGTTAGAGCTGCGTGGTGGTTATTGAGGCATCAGGTTCTCCATGTCATATGATCATACCCTAGTTGCTTCCTTCGCAAAACTCCTTACTGCTGCCTCTGAAGCAGTCAGGGAGGATCCTTGTGATTTACGTTGTTCTCCCCAAGGGCTGTTCCTCCTCCGAGGTAAGGACGGGGGGAAGCGTGGGAGCTGAAATTCCAGCAGCAGCATGGTGTGTTGTCTGTGTAATGCTGCAGCATACACCTCGTTACTTGTGCCCCTCCATGCCCCAGTGTTCAGGGCTGTGATAAGCCTTCCCTCCTGTCTCAGCAGGGTTTATTTTGCATGGCACCAGGAGTGTGATAGCTGTTTGACAGAAGACAAATACAATTTTACTGACTCTCAAGTTCATTTAAATAATAGTCCTAGCTTTCTGCCACCTGCTTTCATAATCCCGAATCTTTCACCGGTGGAGGCAAACAGCTAGTAGTTGGGGTGTTTGGTTTATTTCTGCAGTGTAGCAGGGCAGAGGGAATGGGAAGAGGAATAGGCTTGGGGATAATGCAGTGATAGCTCATGTGAGTGTGTGTTTAAGATGTGGTTTGTCTTTTGTGGAAGGACTTTGAAGACTATTAACAAGTAGGTCTGCTATTTAGAGTTGATTTTTTTTTTTTTCACGCGAGCTGGATTCTCTGGCTCTTTTTCAAATGGAAGTGATGTAAGACCAGGATCTTCTAGTCCTGGAGCTTCACCTCGAGCTTTGGCCCTCTCCACTCTAAAGACAGTAGAGAGACTAATAGAATTTTTTTCTCCCCAGTCCCTCTGCAGTGATTGCAAAGAAGCCAGTTGGGCTTAAAACTGTTTAAACATACTGGAGGTTGTGCAGCACAATCAGCTATCAGACCAGGTCTGGCAGTCTTAAGAGACTGTTAAAACCTAAATATGTTCTGAGCTTTCTGATGAAAGCTGCCGGTGAGATTAAGGGAGATTAGCTGCTTTTTAATTAATATGATGGTGGGAAGGCTAGACTACAACAGTGGCTCCAGTGGTTACAGCCTTCTCCACGTCCCAAATACCAATGGACAGGTTTTTCTCCCTAATGATGAGAAAATACACTTTAAATATCCTGACTTTGTAACTAGCTGCCCAAGGGGTTCAATGAATTACTTCGTGTTTCACTAAATAGAAAAGTGCTGCAGCATGTGAACAGGTCTGTTCATTGAAAAAGCTGCTTTGAGGCTGAAAAGTGGGTTTTTTTTTTCTGAGGTTTTGACAAAAAACTGAGCTCAAAAAAGGGGAAAATGGCTCTTATCAACCTGTGCTTTCTCAGTTGCAAGTCAGTGACTTCACTGCAAATAGTCCAGTCTGAACATCGGCTGATCCTTCTACCTCTGCTTGCCCTGCAGTAATACGCGCTGTCCAAAAGGTGACAGCCTGATTTCCTTCCCCAGGCAGTGCGGAGAACTCCTATACTGGAGAAGACTTTTATCTAACCGTGGAGGAGATAACTATTGTGCCACTGACTTGTTTTCCCCTCTCATCTGCCATGGTAATTGGGAAGGCAAACTAGCAGTGGAGGCTGAATGTTTCCTTCATCTCTTCCTCATCATTCCTATCCTTCCTCCCCTCTCCCTCCTGTTGACGTTTTGATGTGCAAAACACTTTTCACTTCAGAAGCTGCTGTGCTGGGTAGTGGAAAAGAAAACAAAACCCTAGTTATTAGTAGCTGTTACTATTTACTATATTTTCTGCTATGTCTTCCAGCATACCCTCCTCCACAGCAGGAAATGAGGGGATGCTGGGGAGGCCAAAAGCAAGAGAAAAGAGCTTAATTATACAAACAAATGTGTTCATGGGAGTCTTGAGTCTTGGAGGCCCCGAAACTTGCAGACCACTTTGCCTAGGGCAGAAAATTAAAGCCCGTTGGCTCATTCTCAGTTAATGGGAAACGACATTCCCATCCTTGTGGGCTGGTGGTTGCGTGCATCTCGTATATTTAGATGCTGAGATGCACTGTGCCTCATTTTAGAAGTATCCAGTCTCGGTAAACATTTTCTCTTTGAATGTTGTAATTTGAAACTGCTGAAACAACCTCTCTCTTCTAGATGCATTGATAGCATAGGCAGGATCAGGGTAGCTTGGGGTTAAACGCTGCTGGCTGGACACTGTAACCTGGTTAGGGGTGCTTTTTCAAGCTGTTTCTTTGAGCTGTTGCCTCTACTCTTACCGTAGCGCTGTACAGTGTGGTGGTTTGTTTGTCTGGACCTTCAATGTTTGTCCTCTGCACCCTCCTGTGGTCCCCCAAAGCTGGTTATTCCCTATGTAGTGCTTGGAGTTGAGCGTCTGCTCCCTGTCCAGAATTTGGCCCTTTTTTCCGTTTTGGCATCCGACTTGAAGCATTTACGTCTCTACAGCAATGCCGCAGACTCTGGTGTCCGTCTGAATTCCCTTTGGTGTCTGTCCTGCAGTTGTTGTCTCGGACACCTGACCACAGGAGAGCTGAACCGAGAGGTGCAGACAGCCCTGGGCTGGAAAGGAGCGTCTGCGGGGTGATGAACACGGACCGCACACGTGTTTTAATAAGCAAGTCAAACATTGACTAGTCCTGTGTTGAGCCCGTGGTGGTTACAGGCATCGTTCCTGGACTCTGGTGATTCCCCATCCTGCTCTTTTCTTTACAGCTAAATGGATGATCTTTGTTCAGCCTGGAGTGTTAATTTTCTTCCTTGGCATAAATCATCTTTGATAATTTCTGGGTTGATACGTAAGCCCCATGCTGTACATAAATGAATGAGTGATACGAGGAATATCTGCAAATGTAGTTATGTTGTATGTAATGTACATAAGGAGAGAATGTATTTTGTTCATTTTTTTCTTAATAAAAATGTATATGCTAGCAAGGGTGTTTATTTAAGATCTGTTTGTTCTAACATCGCGTGCTTCTGGGAATGGAAAAATGTCTGTGAAGGTCTTGTGGTGGTGCAGAGATTGTGAAACCGGTGGTGCGTTATGCCTGGGCGGCAGGCACTGTTCCTGCTGGAGGAGCCCGCCGTGTCCCTCTGCGCTGCACAACAGCGGAGAAAATACCCTGTTCCCTGAAATCGGTGAAGGGCTGGGTCGGTATCCCATAAATCCAGCGTGTGCTTCGCAGTGGCAAAAACTTATATTGGGGTGGAACACGGACCTAAAACATAGGCTGATGCAAACCCCTGACTTTTAATATTTGATCAAACCAAATTCCCTTTTTTTTTTCCTTTTTTCTTTGTGCATAACTGAAAGCTTAACCTGGAACAAAATGCTTTATTTTGGGCACTTGAAGGCAAATGGAGATGCTGAACTGCCCACGCTGCCGCTGACCCTGCTGTTGCCCTTGCTTGACGGCCCCCCTTCGTTAGGCTGCTTTGGCTCAAGGGCGCGATGTTTGATTCCCTCCTCCGCAGCCGGTCCGAAGTGTGAGGAGGGGTCGGGGGCTAGGAGTGAGTTAGGACGAAGTGCAGAAATCGGGGCAAGCTCCCTCTCCCTTCCTGCCAACGTGAGCCTAAAGCCACTAATAGTTCAAACAGGCGCTCTGGCTGTCGTGGGGCTGCCCTCACCCACATCAGCCGAGCATCCCACCCCTCTGGATTTTCTGCTTTTTTTAATTAAGGGAAGTTTTTCACCACTATCACACTTCTGCATGGGGGAAATACGAGCTCCTCCATGCCTGGCTACCCCTGATCGTCTGGGTTGGTTTTACTCCTGCCCCTCCAATGTTTTCACGTGTCCTTGCTAGCAGGACCGTGCAGAGCCTGCGCTGGGTTTCCAAACAAGCGCAAACCACAGCCAGTTGTAACATCTGCGTTAACGGAGAGTTGTGGCTCTTGAGCACAAGCTCTGCTCCCCCCACCCCTTTTCACTCAGCCAAGAAACAAGCCTTTTACATAAGAATGTTTATTGACAGAAATACATGATGCTTTCAAAATATATTTGTAGGAAAATGCAAGAATAATCTCTACAATCCAGTTCCTCAGTAAATTCCAGTGTAAATCAGACTCCTGTCCCCGTGAGAGATGCTGCTATACAGTACGTAAGAGCTCTATTACATGTGCAAGGTTCAACGGGTAGCCGCCTTGGGAAATAGGTTCTCCTTCTGCAGTCCCTTATGGATTATGTCTTCCCCTGTATGTCTTCTGTAGGCAACAGTCACAGTATCAGCCTCGTCAGTTGGGTCATGGCACTGTGAGCGGGAGATAAATGGTCCTAAAATATTTACACGTTCCTTGTGAATCTGAAAATAGAAAAAGTCTCTTGCAAGGACATCTGAGCTGCTTGTAAAACTCTCACCAAAAGGTAAGAGCAATAATCTCTTTGTACAACGTGTCGGATGTTAAAGCTGTTTTGGGGGAGAGAAGAGGAGCGTGGGGAAGGGAGGAGGGGCAGGGAGGGAGGAAATGCCTGGGTAGATTTTTTTTAATTTATTTTTGGTCTAACAATTATGGCTACAGTCTACAAAGGGAAGGATTAAGGCCAAAGATGCTCATCACTGCATTTCCTACCTGATTTTTTTTTTTTTTTTTTTGCAAAAAGAATTTTCTCAACATAAAAAACGTACTACTGCTTTTTCCGTGGAAGTAGTTCTTTAAATAGGGGAAGGAAAATCTACTATAAAATATTAGTGGTTTAAAAATATGGTGTCTGGAAAAATAAATAAATGTACAATTCCTATTCAAATATAAATCACTGTAAGCACTTGCTGAGCAGTTAATATCTTCACTGGTCTCTGCTCGGAAAGATTTAAGGTTGCTTGATCTCAAGCCTTTGTAGGGTTCTCTCGGAAAGTCTTTGGACCTGATTCATTAAAGCACTTTGGCATCTCTTCGCTGGAAAGGGGGATCTTAGGCACATGCCAAAACCCGACTGCCTGGAGATGCTCTGCCAGGGGCACCCTTACGGCAACGGCAGCCCCGGTGGCCAAAACCTCGCTGCTGCCCCGTGTTTTCAACGCATTTATTTTCTGCGAAGGACAGAAACGCGAGGTCACTGTCCCGCTGCTCGTCTCTTGGGGCAACTGGGAAGGAACGCGCTCACGAAAGCAACTGCAAACGCTGAGACCGGTTCTTTGAGCCTTGCTGCAACGTTAAAGAGCTGAACTCGATGCTGCCTGAGCGGGGACAAAGCCGTGGCGTGGGGTTAGCCGGGTGGGAGGCGTTTTCCTGCTTCGTGTCGCATTTTGATCCCTTACCAGACTGGCCTTTAGCTTTTTCTTTTTTTTTTAATCCC